TAAACCCTAGACCCTAAACCCAGGAATGTGATTGACACTGTCGACCTTTCCAAGAAGGCCGCCGACAAGGCCTCGGAAGCTCTCTCGGACAAGGAACCTGGGCTCTGGGTTTTTAAGGAACTTGGATTTAGGGAGTTTAGGTGGTTTAGGGAGTTTAGGGAGTTTGGGGAGTTTAGGGAGTTTAGGGTTCAAGTTCAGGGCTCTCGTTAAGGAGCTTGGATGTAAAGCTACGAGGTTACCACAGTGTGGACCTGTAGTAAAAATGATACGGTTTCCTTATTGTGGTCACTGAAAGTTAAGCTCCGAAAACCGCGGGCCCAGGAAAAGGCGAAGAGGGGTCCGGTGAAGCTGACTCCATCCATCCTGGGGCAGGGTGTCTTCGAGCCAAGGCCTACCTCGTTGTGTAAGGAATTCCGGTACTGCTACGACGGTCCAGAAACCTCACAGACAGCAAGAACGCAGAAGATGTGGGATGCCACCGGCTATGTCACTGGCGAGGTGTGGTTTAATTGGATTCACGTCGTACCAGTACCAAGCGAGGGCTACTGCCTTTGGGTGGTCAGGAGCCCGCAACGCAACCTGGAGCTGAAAGAGTCAACGACGCAAACCTCTACACAATGTCCTTTCGGTGGCTTCCCCTTACAGAAGCAAGGGAATATCGACCCTGTGGGCGAACTTCGGCAAGAAGCCCAGAAGTTTGCAGGCTACTTTGAGTCTGAAGAGAGTGCCCCGGGCCTCTGAAGCACCGTGGCCGTCCACTCGCCGCTGCATCGACAGCAGAGATGCCAGCCGGAAAAGCGAGATGGGAATTCAGGAAAGGATTGACCCCCTACACATAGAGCCGGAACAAGATGACAGACTCCTCATCGTAAGGACCCGCCCAAGGGATCCCGACATTTCATTTCTGACATCCTCATTCCCTGCTAAGAAGGCTACTGTGTGGAACAGCAGGTGTTGATGAATGCTTGCTGGCCCAGGTGCCCNNCCCCCCCCCCCCCCCCCCCCGTGTTTTCGCCGATCGAACTGGCAACAGCAACATACAGTTTAGGGTCTTCGGTTTCGTTTCGGGGCTAGGGCTTTCGCTGGGCTCGGCATTGAGGGCGTTCAGGGTTTAGGCCCAGGCTCGAGCATTCCATGGTGTCTGAGAGGCAGCTCTAGTGATGATGTA